CGTTTCTAGGACCTGCTTCCATGTTTACCAAATTCTGAGAGCGGCAAATGTAGGGTTTATATTTATTTTAACTAACATTTATTTTAAGCTATCTTTCCTGTCAAGCCTTTACTTTCCCCTAGAATTGCCAATGCCAGAGTATGTAAATCATAGTAGAACGCGCAGAGTATTCAAATTTTTAGCAGAAGTAATTGAGTTTAAATAGAAGGGAAGCGAGATTGTAAGTATACTTCTTGAATCACGAGCGTGAAGGTTGCTTGGTAGAAAGTTTAAGAACCGCGCGTTTCGGCCTGTGTGCCTATTTCGACAGTTCGTTGAATCTTTCAAATTCGAAAATTTGCTGAATCTCAGCTGTATCTTAGAACGCGGTTAAGATAGTTATAATTATAGAGCCTCGTAGATAGTGACTTCGTTAGTTATGCATCCTGTCATTTAGTTTTAGTTGTACTTTTCTATTTTTTGTTTAACCGCCGGGTCGGCGTAGTTTGTGAGCGTCAAGTGTACGCAACTGTGATTTCTAAAGTAAAATAAAAAGGGAGTTAAACCCTTCTTAAGAGTCTGTGTAATTTCCAGTTCATAGCAGTCACTACTACTATTGCTGACAAGTTGGGGCCTCCCAACATCACAGGCTCTATAATTGCTGTGAGGTATAGGAAATAGGTCTTAGAGCCATGCATTCGCCTTTTAAGGGGTTAAGTTGGCTCTTATTTTATTTTAATGGATGACAAATTTTATCTACATACGGCTACTTTAGTACGTGATTTTATGGAAAATGAGGATGTTAATCGGATGGCTATGCCACGTCGATATCCACACCTAAAACTGTAGAAACCTATCCGCTACTATCTTGAGAGAACAATTACAACTCTCAGTTTCCCACCAAGAAGCGTTGCTGCATTTTGCTACATAATTAGAACTTGTAAATAGCGTTGCTGCATAATGCATTGCTTGTAAAATGCCTGATTTCCTGTATGAGGTTGTCTTGTGAGATCTCTATGACTATTATAGTGGATCATGCTCCCTATTAGATTCTATGTACATGCGATGTTACAATCTTCGCTTAAATTTTATGCGTCGATAAGCATTAAATTGCGATCAAATTTAAATTGAAAATGAATATAATTTTAAATATGCATCTCCATTTCTTTTCAATTATTTTTATTATGAGTACTTATGTTTTATAATATAGTGTAGAACTAGAATCCACAAAAATAGGTTCTTTGTCACAAAAATGCATTTTATGAAGTTAGTACACTAGTGATGATAGTTACTTCACCCACAACCGCTTACATCAATGCACAATATTTTGCAAAAGATGAAAAAAGTCCAAAGAACGGGGATAGGAAAATTTTCTTTCTGGCAGGAAGGAGGCGTGACAAAAAAAAAATTTGATCCCATGATCTAACCTTTGAGCCCATAATCTAATTTTGAAAAGATTGTTGTTCTGGAAAATTGTTGTTTATTCTCTCAATTGACATTGCTTACCAATCTTAGCTTCTTTAGCGCTTGATCTGTTGTTTTGAAAGTCTTAATTTTCATTTAATTCCAATTTTATATTAAATTTTTTTATTAAGTAATTTAACAGGTTCAGTTTAATAGCAGGTCCTAAATTCCAGTAAAATGTTTTCAACTCATCATTAAATTTATTTTTGAACGATATGTGCGTATTACGTATATGTATTTAAAATTTTTATTGTCTAATTTGAGAAAAAATTAGAAAAACTGGCTATCAAGGATTTTGAAATTATTGGTGCAAATTATTGATTTTCAAATGACTTAACATCTCGTAATCTCCAATTAGATTAAATTTGCAATATATGAATTAATACCATTAAGTACAGTTAAAAGTTAAATAAAGTACATTTTTCCCTTTTCTAGAATCTTATATCACAGAAAATGGTAAGTATATAAGCTGAAAATTAAACAATTTATATTTTATGTATATTTATTTAAATAGCATTGTTTTAATGCCTCATTCAAATTTTAATGTATAACTGAACAATCCTTTGCGGAAGCTTATCACAAAAGACATTGTGTAATGGGCACCAAGAAAAAAGGTATAAAAGTAACTTTCCACTTTTGTGACATTCTTGTCAGCTATTTATTCAGTCATAAATTGATAGTATTTTATGGGATAAGTCGGTTACGTCTACATAGTAGGGAAGATGAAGATACTAGCTCATATCAGCAAAAAATTGCCAAAATAGTCGAAATTTGTTAGCAAATTAAAGACAGTATTTTAAAGGATTATCGCAGTTCTCTGTGCGAGCTGTCCTTGTGTCAGGGCTGAGCATGTCCAACTAACACTGGGAGATCCGTGGCTCGGCAGCCAGCGAGCGTACAGCTGATTTCTCAAGTTTTGTGGTTCAAAAAGTCTTAACATTGCCTTCTAAACTAAATGTGAGTGACGACTACTCGTCACCATCTGGCTTTGATCGACTGAGTCTTGATCCTTTTTTTTAGCCTTTTAAATAGCGAAGACTATGATATAATATCACACTTCTACGTTCGAGCGTTTCTCCTGTAAGTGGTTAGCACGTTCAGTTAACACTGGATAATACATGCCTCGAATCTCTGCGAAGATACTATTGATTTTACGTTTTTTGATCAAACTTGTCTAGGGTCTGTACAATATTAATAATGCACTCAGAACAGAATGAAAATTCTCTACAAGGTGATAAAAATATGAATTCTCGAGACTTTTCAAGAAATTATAAACACAATTGTTACAGAAAAAACTTATTGTGTGATTGAGAAAATCTATGTTTCTAACAAGAGGGTTGCATATATAAAAATTTATATTTAGTTACGATTTCTATCAATTTATTTTAGTGATAGAAAAGAAATGTAAAGAAATGCAAGCAAATCTTGTATGTTAGCTGTGTATCTTCAGTTTACCAGTACCTCTGCAGCCTTTTTTAGCAGTTTAAATGTAATCGCAATTTCTCAATTAACATTTGGTTGAGTGTCTTTAGGAGCCCTATGGAAGGCTTTGTCTGTAGATCGATGTTACTTGTTTACCTCTGGCAGCTACTAAGTGTCCCCATCGTCCATTATCTACATACCTATAAATTATGTGATTTTTGTAAACATATGCGAATTGCTTTTTTTATTCTAACAATCATTTCCCGTGATTCATGGAAATTTATGAGAAAATAAAGGGAGAAAAACATTTAAAATAAAGCACGCTTATTTATCACTCAATGGTAAATTAAAAATTAGTCATTAGTTATTATTCACAATATTTCTTTTTAGTATATGTTCGAAATTTGTCACATTGTATTAGAAAAGATAAACACAAAAAAAAAAAAAAAAAAAAAAAAAAAAAAAAAAAAAAACAGCATTTTAGCTTTCAAACGCCATATTACTTTTAAAATTAATAAAACACTGGCAAGAAATAATAGTAAAAACTTAACATTTACAACTAGATAATCATTTAAAAGAGGTTTAAATTGCTTCAGATCACTAGAAATACCTAACAGTTAATATCGAAACTAGCAAAGCTCTAATCAATAACCAGCAGTTCAAACTGTTGCGATTACCCAAAATTTTACTTGAACCATGGTATCATTGTGGCAAGACAGTTCGCCATCTGGCGGCATATGCTGCAAACAGAGGGAGAGAGGAAAACTTTTCCTGTCTTGCGGCTGCACACTTGCGTATTATCAGCTAAAATAGTGACAACCGGGCAGAATTTTCCTGGAGAGCATTTATTTGATTTTATCCGGTACTGGGCCGCCGGAAATTAACTGGAATCAGACGCGTTTCGCTAGTTGTGTGTTCGGTAAAATACATTGCAATACTCACAGATAATTTTCATGGATTATATGAGCTGTTTAATAAAGTAGGTAAAATGTTTGATTATATGTTAGTAATCCATAAAGAAAGGTGACAAGTTTAAGAAAATTGAAATAATAATTTTTTCTGATTCTCAAAATCAAATTAACTGTGTGTGAGAAAAAGGTATATTTAATGCACATAATTCATTTAAAGAATCAAAGAAAGACACTTATTTAATTAATATAAGACATCCTTGGTTCAAGAATTAAATTAGGAAAGTGAAATTTTCTTTAGTGCGTATAGCGGTTATTAAGCAATTCCAATTCTCCAATGGAAAGTTACATTTTAAAAGGTATACTTATCTTAAGAATTATCCAAATCTCTTGAGATAGAAATTAAAATATGAAGCTTACTTTAAATGATAAAGAATCTTTGTGATGAATTTTACAGTTTTGAGGAATTAATTAATAAACTTGAAAAATAGTTTCTGAGCTTTCCGAAAGCTTCAGATCTCGTTCCTAATATACTGTGGAAACGTTTCTCTGATTGATCTCATTTCGAAATTGTTTTTCGACTGGAACTTATAATTTGAACTTACAATTGAAATTTAAAGCAGTACTTCAAAGCACTGCTTTAAATTTCAAAATGTAAAATAATTTCAGAAACATAAGACCGAATATATTAGAGTAGTTTAATTTTCTGTATTCTATGGAAATAGGATGTATTGATTTATTATTTAAAATAAGATTACTGAAATTATCATTGAGTTATGCAAAAATAGTTTACAACATATTCATATTTTAATCTCAAAATTGTTTAATAGAGCCAAATGAAATGCAACAAAAATTTGTGTTAATATGACCTCTTGTAAATATTTATAGCAGTTACCTTTGCAGAAGATCAAGCTGATTACGTAAAATAATTACTATTTTACACTTTATTGTGTTAGAAAAAACTGTTATTTCTGGACACAGTATAAACAAATAGTTTCATTATCACTATAATATTTTTCCAATTATTCCAATTAGAATTTACTTTATTAATTTATTTTTTTACTGGTCCTTCCGTTAGAAAAGCAAGACAAATGGATAATTAAACATTTTTTCAAAATTTAATTTACGAATAAAAAAATAAGAATAAGGAATTTTTCTTAACTATATACTTTTACAATTTTTTAAATTAAAATTTAAAAAAATTGTATAATATCCAACTAATTAAAAATGCAGACTACGAATTCAGATTCATCTGAGACCCAAAATACGCTTTTCACTAATATATCGCTGAACCTCGCAATAACAAATGAGACAACTCTTTTAAATCTTGATGACTTATTGTATGACGTGCCTCCTTCCATCATCGCGCTATTGTCATGCTGTTACGGAATGGTTTCCTTGACGGCCATCCTTGGTAACTTCTGTGTCTTGCTCATTGTTGCCACTAGTCGTAGAATGAGAACTGTGACAAATTACTTCATAGCTAATTTAGCTGTTGCAGACATCATAATTGGCTTATTCTCCATTCCATTCCAGTTCCAGGCTGCTTTGCTGCAGAAATGGGTGTTGCCGTATTTTATGTGCCCTTTTTGTCCCTTCGTGCAAGTTCTTTCTGTTAACGTAAGCATCATAACTTTGACAGCAATCGCTCTGGATCGCTATCGAGCAGTTATGTACCCTTTGAAGGCGAGAACATCCAAACTAAGAGCCAAGGTTGCTATACTGGGTATTTGGATTTTCAGCGCTTTGGCTGGTGTTCCATACACTATAGCACTTCGAGTGACACTGGTCTTCGATCCTCTGACTGGGAACAATACAAAACCTTTCTGTCACAACGTGCAGGTTTCGCCTTTCATGTGGGAAGTTTACAATCATATTCTGGTGACATTGCAATACTTCTTGCCGCTATGCTTGATAACTTTGGTGTATGTTACAATAGGCTTAAAGCTAAGAGATACCAAGACTCCTGGAAATTCTCAGTGTGAAAGAGATGCGAATATTCTCAGAAACAGAAAGAAGGTAAGATTTTGAATTTTGCATGTATTTAATATCTTAGTTAGTCACTTCAGTGTGCATGAGCATTATATGTTTCTTTGTGATTTATATATGAGCAGAATTTATGTATTATGTAAAAAACGTAAAATACAGGTAATGCTAATTACTACTAATACTGCTAATTGTAAAGAATACATATTTACAGTATACAATGTAACTGTAAACTAGTATGTAACTGTAACATAATGCTATAATCCAAGAAAGTGTTACTAAGTAACAAAATTCAATAACTGCCAGTGATTTGAAATAGTAGCACATAATGCAGTTAACCAATAAAACAAAACGCTTCTTGCTTTCAGAATGCCTGAATTTTATCGGTTAACGTTCAGTGCCTTTCAAAGTTTAGAAAGCATGAAAAATAGCTAGGATGTTTTCCGAAATGCATTGAGAAAGTTCATTTGAAATTTATGACAAAAATCGAATTTTGGATACTCGGGAGTTACTGTTTTCGGGAGCCGATTCAGAAATGTATGTATATACACATGTATTTATGTATGTAGGTGTGCACATATGTATTTGTGTGTGCACATATATGTGGATATACACATATATATCTGTATGCACACAAATATATACGTATGTACATACATGCATAGATTCATACATACACACACACACATTCCTAAATACGGTCCCTATGAACAGTAAAGTACTGAATTTTGCCGTTATTGATCACATAATTTGCTAAAAACTTCTAGGCAAAGTTTGAACTTTAATAAATAAATTTTCTTGAATCATTAAACAATTATTTATTCTTCTTTAACTAAATGTAGTTAAAGACCTTTCCTGAGCCAAATGTAATGTGCTACCATTAAAATACTAATTAGTACGTTCAGCGAGAACAGTGGCTAGGTATTTTTTCACCTGCCACAAAGAAGTAAGCACGCACACCTATATACAATTAAATTAACCGTGTTTCTATAATTTTATTCAACAAAATAAGTTATAATAATTTATAACACTTCTATTATATTACTGATAACTTATGCGTTGGAAAACTAATACGTGTGCTAATTTCCAATTTTTAGGTGAAATGATTAAAAAGTACTTTTTTGATAGGTTGAAAACGCCTGACTTTCTGGTTCTCTTAAAAATGAATAAAATAAATTTAAATTAACTGCGTATACCACATTATGGCTGAAAATCTAAGCGCTTGGAAATTACGCATAGCAATCGTTTACCAATTGTCTCCTAAGACTGACATTTCACGAAATGTTTTACTGGTTACCGTACTTACGAAATTCTCACTCTAGTCTTAGCAACAAAAGCGGGATTTCAAGCACAGATAAAGATTATCCAAATTCTAATAGCCCAGAATTATTAAAAATAAATATAAATTTTGTTCCATTAACTTAGTTTTTTAATATAAAATTAAATTAATTTAAATTATTTGTGTTTAAAAATTTAAGTGTACTGGGGGCAACATGTACTTAAAAATTTGCTTTCGAAGGGGGAAAGAGGAAGGGAATCCGAAAAATGCTTTCATCTAAAAATTTAAAATTATCACATGTATTAATTTTAAAATATAAAGTTATGATTATGTATATTATATGAGAAATAGTATGATTTAGTACAGCTAATTTTATTGAGCATAGAATTATAAAAATACAGTTAATTTGACTGTATACCTAATTTAGTCTAATGTATAAACTTGATGATAGTTTGAGAACTATCATCAAGTTTATGCATTACAACTTGATGAATGAAAAAGTTTGAGAAACACTGAATAGAACAAACGTACGAACGGCCGATTGGTGAAGTCGCTAAGCACTGGTAATTGACCTGAGTTCTAATCCCTGTAAATGGACTGGCTGTTTGGGCGTTTTCGTGGTTTGCCACGTGCGTAACTTGGATATAAGACAATTTTCCTTAGAAAGCCCTCCATGAATCCTCTGCTTAGAAAGAGAGCCATAATCTTTTTATGCTTTAACATAATCAAATAAACCAAACCAGGACAAATGTACGACAGCTATTTGCCGAAGGAAAGAGATGCTTCGTGGAAGAATTTCTGAGCAAAACTTATTAGTGTTTACGTTTCACTTGGAGCAAATATCCTTTCGGCCAACCCATTCTCTAACATTCGTTATTAGTTATTTCTTATATTAAGCTTCTAAGTGCACTTAAAATTTCTGGTGTCAAGGCTTAATTTGTCTTTTCATTTTCTTACAGTACTAAATTCCACAAAAATATACATAAAATGTTTAAACGATTTGTTTAAAGAGACTGTTAAGATGAAGCTATTGTAATGATCTTTCATTCAATGTTTTATATATGTGTGAATAAATGTAAAATAGTTATAATGAGGTGAAAATTAAGTAAAATATGTGATAATGATTTTTGCTACATCTTGAACATTAAATCTTTAATAATTAGTTAAGTTTCTGATTTGATTTTGTTAAATACTTAATAACGCGACTTGCGCAAGTGCTCAAGATTATAGCACCATTATAACTGATTTAAATTTGTTTTGTTAAAAAGGCGCTTCTCGAAAAATCGACAAGTATGCTTACAAGCGGGTTTCGTTTTTCTATGTTTTAGAGGAAAATTCGTGAAGACCGTTTTAAGAAGATATTCAGAGCAATTGTTCCCTTTGGCAAAAAATACTGCATCCCGCGGAAAATTTACCACACATTCCTCCAGCGCAGGCAAATGTCTCGAGCATATGTTTAAAATTATATTTAAAGAAAAAATATCACGAGTTGTCTATAAAAACCGTCTACGTTTGGAATGCAAAAAATACAAAAACGCATACGAAAATGAAAACATTAAATTGAAGAATTGTCATATATATGTCTGTCTGAAGAACTGTTATACACGTGATTGCCAGAGATTGCCGCAATCTCATACTTTAATGATTTTATACTTCTTGCGATAATACTGTTACGAATTTGGTATTTAAAAAGCTAATGTTAGTTCAATTATAAATTAAATGGTTTTATTTCTCGCGCAGTGCAGCGCGTGACGAATATTAAAAGAGAGCTAAGCCGGAAAATTGAAAATACAAGAGCGCGTGCATTAAATAAATAAATATCTCTTTTTGATTTCGAGAAAGTACTGGAAAATTCTAGCGCGTGATTTTAAAATCTTATAAAAGGAGGAAAACATCTCAGTTTGTAGTTGTGCTTAGTTTGTTGTTGTTTAGAAAATACTGTTGTTGATTGTAGCGAATTCGCGGATTAGCGTTCTTTAGCTGTTTTGAATTACGTTCTATTGGATATTTGAGTAGTTAAAAGATAACTACTGTGAGATATTGTAATACTGCATGATAATTTGAGAAAATTTAAGCATTTTTGTTGTGATAATAATAAATTTTTGTTCATTTTTCATCGGACTTGTGCATTCATTTCGTAACGAACCCGTACGCACCCAACAATTTTTGGTGTCAGGAGTGGGCTTTGAATGCCAATAACAAGAGCGATGGAAGAACAATTCAGGCAAATGATGACTGCATTTGCTGCTTTCCAAGAAAAGATGGAAGGAGCCGTCAACTCCGTTAAAGAAGAAATTAAAGGCGAGATGAAATTGGGCCAAGAATCCGTTAAGGAAGAAATGAAGGCCATTCAAACTGGTCAATTAACTTTTAAAGACGAAATAAAAGTTGTTAAGCAATCTGTTAAAGAAGAAATAAAAGCTGTTCAAGTCAAGATTGAAGAAAGTCAATGCGAAATGAAAGAGAATTGTCTGCATAATAGAAACCAAATTCGAAGCTATGGAAGGCAGAATAGATGTGGTTGAGAATAAAGTGGGACAATTGAGGAAAATGTTCTTCTGTAAAGAAGAAATAGAAGAAAGAGTTGTTCCGTTCAGAAACAAATCGAACAACAAATTGATGACCGGGTTTGTGCGGTGGCCAAAGAACTGGAAACTTTAAAGAAATTCGTAGCGACGGCTGGGAGTAAGAGTGATGATTTTAAATTCTTACCGATGCCTGCTCGTCCATCTGAAGCTATCCCCATATGATGGGAAGACATCCTGGCAAGTGTATAAGACCCAGTTTTCTATCGTGGCGGATGCGATGGATGGGATTCCCAAGCTAAGGCCTGTCATCTCGCGCTTCTCTGAGAGCAGACGCAGCGGATATCCTGCAGACGCTTCCCGAAAACAAAGATTAGATTTCGAAGCTCTGTCCGGCGCCTCGGAGTTGCGCTTTGGGAGAAGTGTTTAAAAGACTACAGCAGGCTCCAATTAAAATCTCGTCAACAGAAGCCTACCGAAACACTTCAGGAGCTCGCCGCGGATGTTGAAAGGCTGTCCCATCTCGCCTTTTCGGAATGCCCGACAGAAACAAGGGAAATCCTGTCCTTGCAATACTTTATCGACGGCATCCGAGATACTGAAATACAGAAAACTCTACGAATGGCGGATGTAAAAGATTTAAAAAGTGCGCTACTGTACGCCATGAAATTTGAGGCAGCCCAGCAAGCCACTCGTCGAGACCGCCACCCAGTCAGAGCTGCTCAAGTCCAGAAGCCAGGGGATCAAGTCACCGCTCGACTTGACGATTTAACTAGACAACTGAACGCCTTGAGACGGAATATTGGTGAGAAGAAACCGACCGTTAAGTGCTGGAACTGCGGTGCTGAAGGTCACATACGACGAAACTGCAAAACACCCCAGGGTACTGATGTTAAGACCGCTTCTAACAAGCAGCAGGGAAACTAATTAGTGGCCATCTCGTGGGGCGGAGGTTGCCAGATAATGAAAAGCCCCCGTTTAAAGCGCTTCAGATTTCTGCAGTGAGAGGCGGCAGCAATGGACTTTTCATAATAGGACATATTAATGGAGTTCCGTGTAATATGACTATAGATACAGGAGCCAACGTCACCATCATCCGAAAAGATTTGGCTCAACAACTAGGAAACAAACTTATCTGGACGCCGCCCTGCGTTACCCTCCAGACTGTGTCCGGTGAGAAGATCGACATCGACGGAAAAGTAAATGTTAACATCACGTTTGGAAGTGCCGCTTACCATCAC